GCAAGTTTATATCACAGAAGCGAGTTTGACACAAATGCTGACAACAATGAATGTTTTCAAAGATCTTGTGTGGAATGAAATCACTGTAGAAGCCAGTGTAGAAAGTGTTACGGACATTGTTCTTAATCCCTAGGTTTCCTGGAGTTAAAAACTGACAGTATGGCACAGCCTCAGCGCGGGGGTGTGGTTTCCCTCTCCCCCACTGTCCCTCCACTGACCCCCAACAGCTCCCCTTCGTGTGGAACGGAGGGGAACCCCTCAGCTAGCATCCTGCCCCTTTACCGCTGCCCTGCCTTTCCAGCCCATCAGCCCCCCGAGCTTGGGAAGCCCGCGTTAGCAGTTATCCGCCACAGCAACCTTAGTCAAAGTGCGTCAACAGACACCAGCAGCGTTCTGCACAACTGCAGGTGTGCACGTGTCTGCTGTGCTGTGTGTGCCACGAGGAGCGGAGCGTTCAGTTCCCGGTGTCCCTAGGGGTTCCCAGGACGGCCTCAGAAATACTGTGGCACACTGGTTTTGTTCTCATTTCCATTTCTGAGACTTCGATTAAACCACTCCTATTAACTTAGTTATTACATATAACAAATCGATATCTTCTAAAGTTTGTATCAGCAAGATACAGCTTTCCTCTCAAAAAAAAAAACTATGTTAAAAAACTCCTTCATAATTTGATGTGGATATTTATTTTGTCTGTTCTGGTTTCTGGTACAACCAAGTTTCTTTGGCAGGGTGAGAACCATTATTGCACTGGAAAGGTGAAGGTGAATAAGGCCGCTAGAAACAAAGCATTCTACTTGATCGGCCTCGTGATGCCCGGAAGGCAAGGTCTCAGTGGACCGCCATCTTTGTTGACAGTGGCCCACTTGATGGTGTACAGTACTTCTAAAGGGTCAGCACCCTCCCCGGCTGCTTGTTTTGGCCCTAAGTCTGCGCACCTGCCTGTGACAGAACCTCTCTCAGGTGCGCCGTGGCACTCAGAACACGCTGCCCGGCTGTCCTGTTTCGTTACTGAGATGAGAAGTAAGAAAGCGTCAGTGTGCTATGCTTTGATTTTTTTTTTAATTATAAGAATCTTTAATAAACAGTCATTCAGCCTTTCCTTACATGCAAGTACAGCTGTAAATGGGAAACAGTCAAATTAAAGACCTGTTAAAGCCAAAGGAGCACAAGACGCTACAATATTTCAGATATATGACATTTAAATCCTAATATCTCTTCCTTGTGACAAAATGTTAAAGGTAATAGACTGTCACAACATGAATCCATTCTCATGACAGTAGATGTAATGAGATTGTCAGGAACACAAACCTAACTGGGGTTCCGTCTGGAGGTTGTAATCTAGTTTGGTCCTGCCCAAGAGCCAGAAAGCGTGTTCCGACAGTGTGTACTATTTTTAAAGTGTAGTATGTTATTATTCTTCCCTCTGAGCAAAACTCCTTTTACTGAGATGTTGGATTTAGCCACCCACAGGCTCCCAGAAATTGCATATGTTTTCCTGTTTGGCTTTAATTGTTAGTGTACTGAAAGTTCAAGGTCAGGTATCCTTACTTTGGACCACAGCTCCTCTCATCCCTCACCGCTGACTCCTAGTGTGACGCAGTACGGTTTCTAATGTATTCCATAAAAATATGTTCTTCTTCTCACAGCCAGCAACACAGGAATGCACAGGAGGCAAATCACTGACCTTTTAGACCAAAGTATTCGAGTCCATTCCCAGTGCTTCGTCATCACCTCCGACAACCGCTACATTCTCATCTGTGGCTTCTGGGATAAGAGTTTCCGCGTCTACTCTACGGACACAGGTAATTCTTACTGCCCGCATCACTGAACTCGTTTCTGATCAGTAGCAGTGCGAGACACAGAGTGGCGTCTCATCTTCTTCCTTCCCAAACTACACAATCCTCTAATTTATAAAATAAGGTTAAAAGGACACCGTGTTCTCATTTCAAGAAATAATATACTAGGGGCTGGGGATTTAGCTCAGCGGCAAAAGCGCCTGCCTGGCAAGCGCAAGGTCATGAGTTCGGTTCCTGGTACCAGAGAAAAACCAAAAAAAAAAAAAGAAATAATATACTAAATAATCCACTGTTAGCTTCAGTGTGTTTTGAAGAGGTAGCTTTTCATAGTACGTTTGTCTCCCAAGCACATGCTTAAAGAGTGATTCACTTTGAAGGCAGAGCCTGCTATGTAATACTACGCACATCTGTATACGCATGATCTTAATGTGAGTACACATACAGACAAGTGTGTTCTCCACTTTTGTATTAAAGAGTTTTCTTTCTTACTGGAAAAACTCATTAAGTATCTCTTTGGAATAGATATCTTGCTTCCACCTAGTTCTCTGTACAATTTTGCTGAAACCTACACCATCAGGAAGAAAAGTAGCTGACTATTGATTTTATGCATGACAGGAGCTCTTGTTAAAATATAAAAGTTAGGTCTATATATGTATTTGCATGCATCTCCCTAAGGGACAATCTCTATCATTACAGGAGCTACAATCCCAGAAATGTTTATGTATTTTGCCACATAGGAAACTGAAAAATATTGAGAAACTTAATGGAGTCCTTTAAAAATATTTTAGAAACTGTTAGAACATAAAATAAACTTAGCAAATATGCAGTTAAATGTCTGAAATAATTACAATTAGTCACTCATTAATACTAATCAGTATATTCTCTGGACATAAGTGTTGTTTGTTTTGCATTGGTTTTGGTGCTGGGGATTGAACCCAGGGCCTGCATGCTAATAAGCACATGCTGTATCACTGAGCTACACCCTAGCCCCTGAAAGCAGATATATCCACTGAAACAGGACTATTATGGGGATAGGAAATTCTATTTAATGGAGATTTCTAGTTAGTTAAACACTTCATAGTAAATAATCATTCAGTCTTTGGAATACTCTTTATAAAGTGTTTGAATCCATACTCCTGTCTTAGTATGTATAGCATGTCAAATAATTAATTGTTCATTTTTCAAGAAGTTTGTCTTAAGTGTATTTTTTGTTCATATTATAACATGGCCAAGAATAGGAAAACATAGAATAAATCCTAGAAGTTGTTTTTAGGCATGATTTCGTGTTTGTTTTAGGCTTTATGGAATGTGCGATCTATTCTTGTTATCATTTGCATTTTTATTCTGTAGGTCTTAGAAAAAACAATCATCATTCAATTGAGCTTTTACTAGCTGTTTAAGTCTGTGAGAGGGATTACTGTTGAACCTAAAATACTCTTAGCAGTCTCTAAAAATGCAGTGGAGATTAATAAATTTTCCTAAAGTACATGTATCGCTATAATGAACTTTTTCTGATTTGGTAATGACAGTGTTAACATGATTTGACCTCATACTGTGTTCTCTTTTTGCACAAGCTTTCAGGTTAATCTGTTACATCCTCTCCCAAGATTTTCATAAATATTCTGTTAGAGTGCATGTAATTTGTTCATATTTATTTTTAAATTTTCACAGTAAAATTCATTCCTCTCGGTTTAGAGTTACCGGTTTTGACAGGGCAGAGTTAATTAACCATCTCACAGTCAAGTGCAGAGCAGCTCCGTCCCCATCTCCCCCTGCCCCTCCGGAACCTCCCGGAACCGCCCCTCCCACGCCCTCAGCCTCCTGGCAACCGCTGTCTACTCCACATCGCCAGGTTTGCCTTTTCCAGAAGGTCACATAAGGGGAATCATAAATTATGTCCGTCTTTGATTTTGACCTTTGAGTTTTTAAAAATTGTCTATTCTTAAAGGGTGTTGGATATTAATGTTTATAAAATAAAGCTTGCCTTACTTTTGTATAATACTAATAACCAGAGTGATACCTATATTCACGGTGTCTTTTAGAATTTACAGAATTCTTTCATACACATGATAATTGCTTCAGCCTCGCATCTTGTGAGAGACCCAGGAATCCTTATCTCCATTTTCCAGAGGATACACTGAGGTGTAGAGAAGTTAAGGAAACGTTGAAATTTGCATAGCTAATGTGGCTAGAACTGGGCCTGTCACCTTGCTGTTCTGACTTCAAATGCAGCTTCTTTGCCAGACACAGCGCCACGTTGTCTCACACAGGTGTCACCATTCAGCCGTTCGTTAACTTAGAGAACACCACAGTCTGTAACGCTAAGTTCCTAGTAGGCCCGCCGTTACCTTAGCAGATGAGCTGCCGGAGCGGGCGCTGCCGTGTCAGTAGGCTTTCCACTGGGTATCGTTTCTTCCCCTCCTTCCCCGTACCTTCTGATAGTGTTTGTAAACATCTGACTTGGTGTGTGTAAAACATTTTCATAAGGAAGACCCTTATTTTAAAATTCATTTCCATGAAACCAGCTTAACTTGTAGAATGAAAATATTTATACTTTTCCAAGAAACTTGTAAATAAAAAAACACGTTAGTCCTAGTATCTTTCTTAATGTCTTGTATACAAACTTGGATGCTGGGTTTATTTAAAATAACTTGTTAGAATAAATATGTATTTGTGTTTTTACAACAATAGGAATTTTTAATATTTTTTCCTAAGTTTAGAAAAGTAGAGGGAAAATTGTATGATCAGTAATATATAATGGCAAAGCTATCACAAGTGTTGAATTCAATTATATTTTAGCACACAAGCCAAAAAAATTCCTTCTCTTATTAGATTGGGGGGGAGGGAGGAGAAATGTGGGTTGTAACAGGAAATTCTTTAAACATAAATCATGTTTTCGGGGCACAACCAGAACAGCAGAGGCAACAATAAAACCTTCCCTCGGCAGTTGGAATTATTTTCAGGCCACATTTTAGATTCAGTGGTGCAGAGTCCTGAGCTGGAATTTTTTTATTTGTAGCACAGCTGTCAAATAAAACATTAACTAGAAAATTTGTTCTGTCAAAAAAGGGATATTCTAGTGCTTGTGGTAATATTTGATATTAGTGTGTGGAGAGGTAGACTGGTATTAAAGGAAACAAAAAATAAAGGTTGAGGAACACTTATGAGATTATCAGAAAATAATTTACCAAAAAGAGCAGCAGGTATTTATAGGCCGTGATTTATTCAGGAGGAGCGAACCTCAACCCCACAGCAATAGCAAAGATGGCTGGGAAAGGCTACAGAACAGGGAAAAGTAAACCCTAAAAAACAGTGTTGGCCAGGGTTGCGCCGAACGTGTAATTGTACTGCAGGATGAGACTCCTTCCCAGTAGCCACGCAGATGTCCGTCCTTCCCTTACATGTCCCAGCACCCAGGCTAGAGTTGCTCGGCCTTGTTATTCCACCGGTCCTGCCTGGGCCTTTCTTTGTGTGCACTTAACGCGATCAGCAAATGTCTGTCAGCTCCATTTGTCCCATGTCTTCCTCTCCTGAACGGCAGGGGCTGTGTCTCTTTGCCACTGTATCTGTGTGAAAGAACATGACACTTGGCACTTAGTAGGTGCTCAGTAAACATCTGTTGAATGAAAAATAATTTTGATAACTTTTTGGTCAAAAATTAAAACAAAATTTAAGTGAAAAACTATCGTGAGTGAGTATACATCTTCCTCATGCTGATTTTGGAGCAACAGAGCAGTGACTCAACTAACGAGACCATGAGAATCTTGGGAAATTCCACATCTGCCCTGCCCGGCCCGCCTTTCCCAGCTAAAAACGTTCCACTTCTCCTGCGCAGGAGCTGGGAGTGAAATAAGTCGCTGTGAGCGGCTGGGCATCGCAGCCCCGGTGCGCCCGGAGCACCTGGCTTTCCTCCGGGCCACCTGCCTCAGACTCCGTTCGTTCCTCCTTCCCAGCAGCCCTCGGGTCCTGGGTTTCAAAGCGGAATCGAGCTTGTTCCTGAAAAAACCCTGAAAAGTTCACTGCGGCGGTTGCACCCTCTGAGCATTTAGGCGCAGGCTACTGCAGAAGTCACCGTGCGAGCTCTCTGATTAAAGCACAGCCGCAGCGTGGCACTCCGCGCCTTTCAGCAGGCAGCAGGCACTGCTGCAGCTTTCGGGTTTCTAATTATTGTCGCGTACGTTCAGCTGACTTCCGTCTCATCTCACACGAAGCCTACTTCCAGCCTAACTACAGCCATTTCTCTCTACCCCTCTTTGCCTGGAAATGGTGGAAGTTACTGTATTTTTCACATTTAATTTACTTTTTGAACTTACGTATTCTAGAAAATCTTGAATTCTTCTTCAAATATTCTCTATTGATATAACCTAATTTTGTAGGTGAAATGTACAGGCATCAGTTTGAAAGGGTGGAGAAATTCTGAAGCCATGGCTCTGAACATTTAGCATTTAAAACTGAAGTCTTTGTTTCTCCTTTAGTCCCAGGAGAAAAGGAGCTAATTTAATAATTTTGCCTTCTGAGATGTGACTAAGTCTGATTTTAAAGTTACTGGTAGTAAGCCTTGTGCACGACTGCCCCTCATGAGTAAGACCATGTATTTCGACTACCTACCTGGTTCCGTTCAAGGGTGCTTCAGCATTGTATTTCTAAATTTGCAGCTTTTATCATAAACCTTGGGGCTTATTAGAATGAAGCATTTTTAAAATTTAATGTAAATACCTTCTTAGTTATATTTACTAACTTGAAAAGTGAAAAACACTTAGATGCCAATACTTAAATAAGACCTTCAGCTTTTGAATGGTTTGTCTGTGTTCCAGGCAGCATTCACAGCTTTCTAAGCATATTATTGCTTTTTTCAACCTAGTAGTGTTTTTGTTGAACATAGGAATGAGTCTTAAGGCTCCACTGAAACACTTGTTTAAGAAACATTTATGCTGAATAGTAAGGGTAAACATCCCACGACATTCATCTGTAGATTGTGTAGATGTTAGGAAATGTTAGCTAGAATAACTCTAGCACAGAGGGGCTGCTGTAGACACTGAATTGTTTAGGTAAATCCGTGAGTGAGAGCCGCAGTCAGTGGGCTTTTCTTCTGACACCCGTGTGAGACAACTCTCCCCGTGCCGGAGGCCTGGAGCACACAGGAGGATGACCGGTCTCCTCGCCATGTGCCTGGTCGCTATCATTAAAGCCCCGTAATCTTGATTTTGTCATCACACCAAAGGAATTTTTATGATTCAGATGATTAAAACGACCAAAGAATGACTTGGTTCAAATTGAAATGACAGTAAATAAGTCTTTTCATCAGACGTTGGTCCACGTCATCCTGGTTTGAAAAAGCAGAAATTCTCTCCAAAGTGATTTTAAAAAAGGAGAAATGCATGAAATCTTCGCTAAGAGAGTCTGTATTAATGAAATTTGGATTAAAGGTTGCTCTTACCAAAAGGCAGCTATGTTTTATTTTGAATCACACAAGGTAACTCAAGAAAGTATTAAAAAGTTCCAATAAGGGTTTTCTTGGGCCTGCTTAACCAGTAATCAGGGTTCTTTTATAGTTTATAGTAGCCACTTAGAAGTCCTCAAATACTGTATTTGAAATAGTTTTAACATATGCCTTTCAAAAATGTTAATTTTTATGGAAAAGGTTTAGTGTTGGGTCAGGTCAAACATTATGACACCTGAATTAATCAGAATCACAGTTAATACAGCATCATAGTCTCCCAAGTTATCTTTTCACTAGAGTTTTGTTGTTTTTAATCGCAGTCTTAAAAGAAAACTGTTTTGTATTTCAGGAAAGTTGATCCAAGTGGTGTTTGGTCACTGGGATGTCGTCACTTGCCTCACTCGCTCCGAGTCCTACATTGGGGGAAATTGCTACATTCTCTCAGGGTCACGTGACGCAACCCTGCTGCTGTGGTACTGGAACGGAAAAAGCAGTGGGATTGGAGATAACCCTGGCAGTGAGTAAACTTCTCCAAGTGATTGTAGAATAACGTGTTGTGCTGTAAGTTTCCTTTTCATTACGGTGAGTGAGGCTGAGTATCGAGTATTTCTAATTTCTCATTTGTAATTTGAGAAGCACCTAGATAGCCTTACTAGTAAAACAGTTTTGTAGTCATTGATAATTAAGATACACACACGAAATTTTTTTATGTGATAAATTATTCTTGTGATCCCAAAATACTGATGTTTCACTGGAAAAGGCTGTTGCCGAATAGAGGTGTTTTATTCATGAACAATAAGATAACAATCACATACTATCTTGTTTATTGAATTCATATTTTAAAAGAACAAAATAAAAATTATAATTTCATGGAAATCTACCAGTCTTTGTAAAATTATGCTTTCATTTACATATTAAAAGATAAAGCAGGTCATAAAAGGCCAATATGGAATATTCAAATTGGCTCTTGGTTTTTCAGATGGGAAATGAAAATGTTCACCAACAGCCTTAAACGTCTTTATGGAACTGTGCTAAAGGCAGTAAAACAAAAAATGTGTAACCATTTAAAATTGTAATTCACAGAAGGCTAAAGAAGGAAGCAGCTACCATTAAAACCAATCGCACACAGCTGCAGCAAAGAAATGGCTTTAGAAAAACACATTAAGAAGTAGGAAAAAACAATTAAAGGGACCACCTGAAAAATGAGAATTTAATTAAAACGATTATGACAGCAGTGAAGAGTTCCCACAAAAATAGCTTTAGATGTTTACTTCATAAAGTAGAGCATTTTAACTGCTCTTAAATATTTACAGTTTCTTAATTTAAGGCAAGGCACGAGGTTAAGGGAGGATCATGTTGTTCCTGGTGACTTTACCTGAACGCTGTGGTACGTACTTCTGTCACTCACTCTGAAATCATGGAACGACAGGAATACGTGTGCGCCCGTCCTGTTTTAGATCGACTTCTCAAACTTGTGCTGAGTGGAAAATATCTACGTGAAAGTGAAACCTTTGTTCAAAAAAAGTAGTCAAACGGTAGTGGACTTTTTAAAAAATATGCCAGATATTTTTCACAGATATTTCTTACGTATAGTATAGATTTTGGAATGGTAGGTAAATGCAGTTTTTATGCAGTTAACTGTGTGTGTGTATTTATATACAGTGTGTGTATATATTCCTTATTTTGATCAAAACCAGCATAATGCCCTACCTGAATAGAATATGAAAAATAATTGGAAGGCTACAATGCTATGGATCTACAGTCTGTGTGATCAGATCCGATTGTAGTGTGTGTACATGTGGTGGGGAGAGTGTGTTTATGTGCGTTTCCCATGTTTATACGTACATCTCCACCTCGGACATAATCACAGTAAAGATTTAGAACTACAATTCTAGGGATCTTGCTTTCACATTCTTTGGAAAGTACCTCAAGTTCCTCTTCCTGTGGACACTCACACTCTGGTTCTTCGTCCTTTGTGGCCTCTTAGGTTGGGTCACTACTTTCAATTTCTCCTTTTCCTGCTTCTGTAAATCAGTTATGAGTCTCACTAAATTAGCTCAAGTGAACTCTGATGCAACACAGATAATAAACCTACCATGACGTTATTTATCTCAAAATATTCAAGGAGAACTTTTTCTTGCCTTAAAATAGTGTAAAATGTTTCATGCCTACATAGCAATCAGAACATGCATGGAGACACACACACACACACACACACACACACACACACGACATAGTTTGGTTTTTTAACTCATGGGACCTAATCAGCATTCTAAATTTTACACAGTCATTACCAATGTGAATTCTGAGAAGTATATAAGGTACACGTAGATGTAATTTCTGTTGCATTTCAGAAATCTAAGCATGTTTTAAAATTGGAAATGTTTGGCTTTTTCAAAAGGAAAAATAGTTTACGTCTATACACCTATATATCAATATACGTATATATTTAATTATACTTTATATATTTAAGTACCTATAAATTGCCCTCGAGTTGGTTTTTACATGCATGTCCTTAAAAAAATGGCAAGCAGGAGTGACCAAATCTAAGGCATCATCGTACAGAAAAATCTGAGTTCTCAGCCTGGCTGTGGTTCTTCTGTTGTCGTAAAATGAAAGCAGCAACAGTGAGCGGCTTAAGGTGTTACAGAAGCACAGGGTGCTCGGCTCAGATAATCACCACACGAACACCAGCTTGTTGGCATCGGAGTGCACATTATAATGTTGCATTTTTCATGAAGCACTTCATCTGTACTCCGTTATCATCTGTAGTGTGGTGGACATTAACTCCTAGCAACGCCAGTAATGAAGAGAAAAAATAAAAGAGTAACACAACAGCACATGTAATACAAATTTTAGAAAACTGTAATGTATCCTGACTGAATTAAATTACCTTTCTCAGCCTGAACCTTGTCCTTTCTGGCCCCTTTATAATATCTGATGTCCCAATTTAATTTTGTTTTAGCTTTGAAGGGTGAATCTGGGAAAAAGACAAACAGGCACTTTTTCATATTAGAAGAATTTACACACATTAGAATAGAAAAATGAAAAGACTGGTTGAAGCTTTTTGAAGGAAAGTAATGAACAAACACAAAGACATTTTTACTGTGTGTAAACTGTTTTCCGCATCTACACAAGCTGCCTGAGATTTCATAAGCCTCCGCCTCACGGATGGCTCCACGACACAGGCCCTGGAGTGGGAGCTGCTCGGCGAGGGCTCTCGGGGCGTGCTCATTCCCACGCTGTGTCTTTAGGTGCAGAGGAACGACCTTTGGGGAGGGCTTAGGCTCTCACATGCGATACGGCCTGTAAATGCACACGACGCCTCAACTTTGAATTTTTTATTTTAGACGTTTTCTTTCTTGAAAGGAAAATAAACAAATGGAAAAAAAACCTAGGCGGTTGCTTTTTGTGCACTTGATAGATCTCATTCAGCTGTGTAGTTGCTGCTATTTAAAGCCCGTGAGAATAGCAAGTTAATTGTGTTTGCTACAGTCATAGGCTGTGTGTCCCATTTTCTCCCTATCTGACATTGGTGCTATAGATAAAGTTGATAGCTGAAGAACTGTTTTTTAAAAATGTGCTGTCCTATATTAATACACATATTACCTGAGCAAAATCTGGCTAATTGAAACTGCATACAACTTACAAATAGTATTATTTGGGCCTTTTTAGAAAGACATGTTTTATGAAACCTGCTTAAAGTACGCAGCAAAAGCCTTGCCTTCCTGCACCCAGATAGATTTCCACCTTTCACTCTATTGTCTTGGGAGCATTAGCTGCCCTAGCATGCAGTTCTCTCAATGAGAAGAAAACTGAAAAACAGAATGCCATTTAGTTGCAGATTTTTCAGATAACGTTAACATAAAATTTCAGTGAAAGATGTTTTCTACACGGAAACACAACACCTCTTTCCCTGTTACCCTTTGTGTTTTAGGGCCTAATGGTGTCCAACAGAGCGTTTTTCCAAGGTGCTTATTCTTCCTTTAGAATAAAGCTGTCCAGACTGCCCATTTCCAGATCCTGGAGAAAATGTGCCCTGCTGCACTGGATTGGTATTTAAATACTTCAGACTGTGACATAATTTTATTTAGTTAGATAAACAAGATGAAAATGTACAAAATAGTTGTTGTGTATTGGCTATTTTATAGTACATTTATCAATAGTAAACTTGAATTTTAAAAATTAAGTGCTTATTAGGAATTTTTAGGGATTGGAGTAATGTTTTTAAAGCCAGAGTTGATTAGCTTCACAAGCAAATGGTCGCTGACAGTGAGGTGCTGCGCAGATTTGTGTGTGTGGTATTTCAGGAAAGTAGTTTTCCATTCTTGCATTCTGGTTTTGATTTGATTGAAAGGTGGCATATTTTTCCTCTTTGCAATCAGACATGCTAATCTATGTCAGCTTTCTCCTTTATGGGAATGGCGTCTCCTGAAAAAAACGAAGTTCTTTTTTTCATAACAAGATTCTGTTCTTTAAGAGTATTTCAGCACCGTTAATTAGAAAGAAGGTTTTATTAACCATAAGGCCAGCTCTAACAGACCACAGAGCTGTTTTTTAAAGTACTGTATGCCATAGCGGCCCTGTTTTTTCTCTGTCTAAAACTTCATTTTGTTATACTCTCATCAATCACTTAAGTCATTACCGTAAATCCTACTGTTGTTAATTTTACTAGTATCACCCTAATGAGACATTCCTGCTATAATTAAAAATGAATTCTAACTTTAAGGCATTCTAAATTTTTTTTTAATGAATTTAGAATGATCTTGCCATATGACTATAAATACCACTGATATACACATAGACTACTCATGGAGTCTGTAAGAAAAGTAGTATCGTAATACATCCAGGTGTGAATTATTTACTGGTTTCCTCTGTGCACATGTGCTTATGCATATGTATATTTTTGTGCACATATTTAGGAATTATGTCCTTTTTATCATAAAGCCGAATATGTTTTACCGAAGCTACTGACAAATCCTTATTCTTTGTCTTGCCAAAATATAGGTGGATGTAACACAAATAGCATTCCTCTCTGGAAGTAGGTGGCCTAGAGCACCATCTGCTGGATATGTTTGGAGACTTAACATTGGGAAATACAAAAATTAGTACTTGGACACACAGGTGTATTTTGTTTTTAAGTGCCTGTGGTATAGTATTTGTGGATCTGAAATGCCAAGATGTGTACATCTGTGTTGAACCATATATATTTTTAAGACCAGATCACTTTAATTTTTCTTTTACCCCTCCACCAACCTGGATTTGGAGTTTTATAATAAATATTTTAAGGAAAAAGTAAGTACAGTTATATGCCTGGTAACACAAAGCACTACAATTTCTTAGGAGATAAACTGATTGATTGCAGGTCTTTAATAAGCTGCAATTAGGGTATATTGTTTAGGGAATATTTTAAATTTAGGTTCTTTGTGTTCACTAGACCTTGCATATGAAAGCAATGCTTGAGACAGGTCGCCTGTGTATACCTGGGATATGACTCTCGATCCGATGTGTTGCCAGGGGCCTGAGCTCCTGAGTCTCGTCCGAAGCTTCCCTTCTGGCCCTGCTTGTGCAGTGCATCCCTGCACTCAGACTACGCGGTGTTTTTCTTTTTCCTTGGCGTATTCATCAGGCAGGGTTTTGAAGCAGTATGTTGGCAGTGTTGAAGTTCAGGTGACATTAAAAGTTTGTCTATGAAATTCTCCAGAAGGTCCAGGATGTTTAGTGCTCCATGATGTAATGCAGGCCCTCAAGTTCCAGCAAAACAACTCTGTATTTACTGCTTGTAACTAATAGTAGATGTGGTAAAAGGAATTATATTCATATGGCAAATGAATACAACCTTAATGTGCACCATATGCAGAGTGGTGGGGTGATGTGCCAATATATCACATTTATTTACCTTGTTTGGTTGTAGAGGAGAATGACTATACCATTCAGCCCGTGGGCAATAGCTATTTAAATATGAGAACAGAAGAACTGGTGATTTACGTCCTCAGATTGAAACTGAATATCTTCATGTGTAGACTTTAATAGCGCCATACCAAAGAAAGCTGTCTAATACTTTATACTCGGATAGAAGTTTTAATTGCAAACAATTGCTGGAATTAATTTATGAAGGTACAGATTCCCGCCAAGTGTCACTGTATAGGTTCTCAAGGAAATTGTGGGGCGTCTTTTTTTCATTTGAGAAGCTGCAAATGATACTGTGAGCTCTGTACCCTTTCCTCTCATCCACAAGGATCCTTCTGCTCTTAGAGTACAGCGCAAACTGCGAGTTCGCGTGGATGCGCGCGCATGTGTGACGTTACTTAGCACTGCCAGTGTACGTCCACGCAAGTCCTCTGGAGCAACATGTTAAATTGACTTTACCACTTTCCAGAAAGTTCATTTCATGAGAGAAACTGTAGGACAGCTTTCTGCATACAGACCTCGGATACTCCTGAGAATTTTTGAAAAGACAGCCATTTTACATGAAATTCAGACACACGCTGGTGTGTCTTATCTTTGGCACAGCAACAGTTATCCTGTTTTTTCTAGTTGCCTCAGTTTCCCTGTGCTGTGCCCACTTAAATGGCTTTACAGAGCGGAAGCGTAAAGGTGTTCCTGGCAGGACTTTTAAACTTTGTTTCGTCGGTTCCTTTAACACTGCCATTACCTAGTTAAGTACGTATATCACTTCATATCATTACCTGTGAGGTTTTTAAAGTAATTTTCCTCACATTAAGATTTTGTTTGTTTTTTTGTTCTGTTTTGTTTTTGGTTTTTCTCCGGTACCGGGAACCGAACTCACGACCTTGCACTTGCCAGGCAGGCGCTTTGCCGCTGAGCCAAATCCCCAGCCCCCACATTAAGATTTTGAATTTCAAGTGTTTTCAGATAGAAAAAACATTACTTAGAATCCTTCTTCCTTTTATGCTTAACATGCCATGATTATTCAGCTTTTTAGCTTTAATTCTTATAGCTGTGGCTTTTCATACCTAGGAGATCGCTTTATTTCCTTGGGGTAAGTCAAGGTATCTTTAATAGAAGTAAAAACCTTCCATAGTTTTCAGAGTACCTTATGTAGTTTAACAAAGAAACCCTAAAAATGTTAAGGCAGACATATTACAGAGAATTTTAAGTGATTTTAATATTTAGGGTAAGTAGCTTTCTAAATTTTAATTTATATTCACAAAAATGTTCTTAGCTGAACAAAATTCAGTACAGTTCTCCACCTACCTTTATTCTTTTTGGTGGTCTAATTTTTTTTTTTGGTGGTCTGATTTTTAATATTTATATTACAAGACATTTATATGTAGCTACAGGACCTATGGTTTTTCTCCGGTGCTGGGAACCGAACTCACGACCTTGCGCTTGCCAGGCAGGCGCTTTTGCCGCTGAGCTAAATCCCCAGCCCCCGCTACA